ATACAGTTATCTCATTAGCATTATTATTGGATATGTGTGATATGTCAGCCACTCATCTTCTTCACATTTTGATTAATTTAGTTCACTATAATTTCGATGTTCTTGGATGGATAAAGCTAAACATTTTTGTTTACACTCTTGTTTGTTCGAGGATTCCGTAGTTTCGTTTCTTAGAAGAGACAACTCCTCCCTATTTTTTTTTTCTTTTTTCTCTAACTTCAAATATGGTCAAAGGTGTTGTTATTGGTTTTTAGGATTTTCTGAAATATTGTACTATTTTACTAACTGATATTTTTTTAATTAAACCAGCATGCTGTTTTATTGTTTTTATGTCAGTAAGTTGTTTTGATATGTAATAATGACACACAGTAGAAAAGTTGTATGTTTCATCATTTTATTTCATTTTAGTATTTGCTCAACTATTATGTTTCATATTGACTTTGTCCAAGAAGATGGAAAAGTAATATAAAATCCTTAGCATTTTCTTCTGTAGCTGTAGTCTTTTCTATTTTTGGCTGTACCTTCTATTTTGTATATCCTTATTTCTATATTTTAAATCTTTCACTTACAGATAACGTATATCTATTTATTTGTATATGTTTTCTCTTTCATTAAACGAAGAACACTCTGTGTTATAGACATTTATTTATAAAGTCTATATTATTAAATGATTTTTAAATCAAATTATGTCAGTCACCTTGAAATATAATGGACTTACAATAATTATTGTTATGATTTTCTGTACTAAATTAATGAGGATTTTTAGCAATATACATAATGAAGTCAAAAGTGCTAAATATTGGCGTGTTTTGATACGCTAACGTTATGGTAGAGTATAATGTTAATAACATAAACTATGTCTCTTATAACTTTTTTATAATTATAATTATAATTAGATAACCATTCCATTGTTTGTTCGATGTTACATATAGACTTCATACGACATACTGACTTCTCTATGAAACATTTTATCAAAACTTTTAGGGTTTTGTCAGAAAAAAAAACAATATCTTTCCATTAAATTGTAATTTATGCATGTTTATAAATTTTTGTAATCAACTATATGCATATACTAGCGGGAAAAAAAGGTACATGTAAATACTATATGTACCATTATTTTAATGATTTATTTAATTTATTCAACTTCCATTACAAAAAATCCATCATGTGACATTGTTTCGGACCCTACACTTTTTCTAATTAATATGAATATGTAAAAACAAATTACAATTTCACTATAAACTCAATGAATGACCGACAGTTTGTAATAGACCAGCGCAAACTTTCTTCTCTCTTTCTATAAAATTTAATTTTAAAAAAAATCTCTAGAAATCTCAAATTGAGGTAACTACGGTATTATAAAGCTAATTCTGATGTACGTCAACGAGACCTGGACACTAACGAGCACCCTAGAAAGTTTTCTTTTTATTATATATTTATTGAATATTAATATAATCTGCCGCACTCAAGGACAATAAGCATTAGAGCTAAAAGTATCCACTCATACAATACATATATATATATATATATATATATATATATATATATATATATATATATATATATATAAGATAAATAAATGAAGGTAATTAAAGAAAAATAAAATAAATTAAAAATAAATAAATAAAATTCTTCTAAAGCTCATTCAAATCTACATACAATATTTACATTTGCCCAAGAGACTCCGACCCACCAGGCTTTGCCTTCCACGTGTGGAGGCCAGTGGAGACTGGGAGAAAGCACTTAAGCCACTAACATCCAGGCACCCTAGAAAGTAGTATTGAAAGATTGAGAGAAAATTCCACCGAACGATAACTCGAGTGATCTATAAAGAAAAAGCTAAGGTTAAGACTGGCGGGGTAGCCCGGAACAATACATCAGGAAGTCTTTATGCATCAATGAATGTCTCAATAATAGGCAAGAGACAACATGGATGGCTAAAAACAAGTTATACAGATCGAATCAACATAGATGCTGTAGAGCTTCATGCAGATAATTGGAAAGAAATAGACCTATTGCAAGCTCCTTAGCCCGCAAGGCTACCCCAGCCCCCCCCCCATATATATATATATATATATATATATATATATATATATATATATGTCCGTTTTGAACTATATGTATATCCAAAGACTAATATACCTGCAAAAACAAAGTTATCCCATCCATTTTACCATGTGTGATAAATTCTTATCCTTCAATGTTTCCTTAGATAATGCTTAGGATCTCCTCGACCTGGGTCGGCGTTGTGAAGTAGAATATAGCAGCTATATTGAAGGTAATTGACTAAAGATTAAAGGATAAACAAACAGGCTGATGGAATAAGGAAAATAACTCAATTACGAGAGGTACTGTTTACCCAACGTCCCAATTACAGAATCTTTCCAGAGACCCTAGAGGATAAATAAACAATGGTAAGCCATTACATCCTCTTGAGGGGCGGCTGTGTAATCTCGTGCCAGCGCTGGGTGTCGCCTATCCTTGGTTGCCATCGATTTATCTTTGTTGTATGGGCTGGGGTCCAGGTACCTCTGGCAATCGGGGTACTCAACGGGAGAAACGGCATATTATTAATGAATATTGCAAACCAACTATTCTTTGTCGATTTCTGCTTATTTGTTACTGGTCCTTTATTCATTACCTGTTAAGTACTTGTAGTATATTGATAATACTGATTTAATAAAATATACAAAAAAAAAAAAATCCTCTGATAGTTGTGTCCAATGTCTTTTATCAATTTCAAATTCACATATTCCACCAATTTTATCTAATATTAAATTAGATTACCAACATTAATTTAATATTAGATAAAATTGGTGGAATATGCGAATTTGACTCAACTATCAGAGGATTTTTTTTTGTGTATTTTATTAAATCAGTATTATCAATATATTACGAGTACTTAATAGGTAATGAATAAAGGACCAGTAACAAATAAGCAGATATCGACAAACAATAGTTGGTTTGCAATATTCATTAATAATATGCCGTTTCTCCCGTTGAGTACCCGGATTGCCAGAGGTACCTGGACCCCAGCCCATACAACAAAGATAAATCGATGGCAACCAAGGATAGGCGACGATTATCTAATATTAAATTAGATTACCAACATTAGGGGAGTGGGGTAGCTCAGTGGTAGGGCACTGAGCTTCCAATGCAAAGGTCCTAGGTACGAACCCCGGCTCATGGCAGAAAATTTATTTATCTGTTTCATTGGCCGTGGGGCGACCCTGGGTTGAGGGTCCCTCCTGGGGCACACCCAGCCTCTATAAAGTGGGTACCCTTAATTAAATAATTAATTAAGGGGAAAAACCTGGCGGTTGAGCGTGATCTCGGTCAAATCACCTCCTTGCACAACCGTTGACCTAGATACAGTGCTTTCCCTAAATAGTACTGAACCCTAGACCCTTGGGTTGTAGTGTTACAGGTTTTACCAACACTAATTGTTAATATAATTATTATTGTTATTATTACTGAAAAAACAAATGTAAGAGAACTTAACCAAATGCCTCTTGGTACTTGGACTTGAACAGAGATTATACCTTTCAAGTGGTGGATTCAGGTTTGAATTTTAGGAGGAAGGTATTATTTTTTTTTATGAGAAATATTAATCTGGAAGAAATATAAAGTAACTATTTGAAAAGATGTTTGGTTTTGAACTGTTAAGTGGTCGTTGAGGGCATTTTCCAAAAAAAAAAAACCCACAAAAAACCGTAATTATTGGAACAATAATGCTTTTAGGTATATATGTTTTATATATTTGTTCTCGGCACGTGCTTACATTTATTATCTGTAAATATTTAAAAAGAGAATGTGTTGTTTTTGTTATTGTATACTCAGATATTAATCTGGAATCAAATATGGAGTAAATAATGAAAAAATATATATTTAACTATTTAGGGAGGGCCTTCAGTCCGAAAGTCCTCCCCCTCCCCCTTCTCCGCTAAGATCCAACAGTGCATCTTTTTCATGTTAGCTAATTCTTCCGATATGAATAGGTTCACTAAACATTGAAGCATAATCTGTAAAAGTATTTATATTGGTATATATAAAATATTTAATAGGTATATAACGATATATTGTGCCACTTATGTCGTTATGTACACCGTCTTAACAGCCTGAATAAAAAAAGTATCATGAAATGTTTTTTTTAAATGATTTTATTAGATATTAATGCAGGCTACCATACTGGCATTGGTACTAGGGCTATTGTATTCAATATCATGAAATTAAAAAAAGAAAAACAGAAGTCTCAAAAATAGTATTTTTTAAATATATATATTTTTTGTCACATTAGAAGTTAAACTTTAAGTGAATTTTTTTTTCAATATAAATTTAATGTTATTTAGTTTATATTGGTTTGCACAGTTTTATTATATATGATAGTGAAAATATATCTTTCGATTTTAATCTTTTCTTGTTTTAAATCGATTTTATACTAAGCAATATTTCTGTTATGTTCAGGACTATATTTTACTTAGAATTGTGTGGGTTCTCTTAAATTACAGTTTAAAATAGATGAGTAAATTCTCTGATTGGTCTTTTCTGTTAGATTTGCATACAACGTTCAGAAAAGTTGAATTTTAAAAATTCAGATTTTTAGAATTGATTGATTTGACTCATATATGTATTTCTTCTAAATATAAATCGGGACATAGATTCGTTCCCAGTTCTCATCTTAGTATTGCCTATTTAGTGTATATTACCGAATTCACTATAGTTTCGAAATTAATTTATATTCAATGAGGATTGTCATTAGTTACGCATCTCGAGGAATTCTTCATTTCGATAATTCTTTTTAACCATTGTTCATTACAATGGTGATTTTTTGCTTGCAGAGGAATGTACACCTTTGCATCTTGCTGACTGGTGCAACAGCTGGTTCCTGAAACTTCTTCTCCTGTTCCTTCTAAAAAGCTCCCAACTTCTGCTGCCTTGGCCCCTTAATGCTCCCACTTAGCTGTAGCCCAGTTGGACGGAGGATATATGGTGTGGTGCCGCTATGGTAAGAACCGCTTCCTATGCAAGAGCGGTAACGGCACAGGCACTCCCAGCTCCCGGGAAGGAAACCGACCAGTCATAGGGGAAGGAAAAAAGTGTTGAAGAATGGTCCATGCCCGCCGGCCAGTCATCCTCAGCCAGGCCACTCCATTCTGCCTGCCATATCCAGGTATATGCCCAGCTGTGCTCATCTTCGTGTCTGCATGGTCGGCTGGAGTGCAGTTAGTATCAGTATATAATCAATAGATCCTCAGCAAGATGTAGTATACGGGGAGATGGGGAGAAGTCTTTCGATCTGAAGCCCCCTTCCCAAAATGAATTTTAATTTATTTGTATTGTTATATTTGTTTCTATGAATAACCTGAGATGAATATTTAAACACTTAAAATATGTACTCTTCTTAAATTATAAAGTATACATGTATGTTTCAACAACTAAATTTAAGCATGTTTTTTATAATATTTATATTAATTTTTATTGGATTCTACACTCTCCTCCTATCTTTGTTGAACTCTCCTTTGAACATTGAACTCTCCTCCTATCTCTTAATTGGACAATAGTTATACTGAGGTAAGACTGCATCTTCCTTTATAAAAAATCATTACAAATTTACAGTATATTATTACAGCAAAGCATTTTAAACATTTTTTTTTTTTTAATTGATAAATATTACAATCTGTCTCAATAAAGGACATTTATAATAGAGTTCTGAGAGCACATTCACACTATATTTACAAATTAAAAAAAAAAAAATAAGCTAACTTCAAATAATATAAAGTTACAAAAGAACAAAATAAAATATCATAGTGAGAAAAAAAAAAAAAAAGTAATGAAAATAAACATCTTAGACGTAAGCATACCTATTTACATTATTTACAGTCGGCCATAGGAACTCCGAACCATACTTATCTCCACACACGTGGAGGGAAAGCAAGGCTTCAGGAGATCCCTGCGCTTCTTCCTCAACCATTTCACTGGCATTGAAAGCCAGCGGAGATTGAGTATGGGCGCTACAATCACGGACACTCATGACTTGAGTGGAGAATCTGGCCATTGCCAGAACTCCAGTATATACATGTTACAAAAGGTCACGGGGCCACTGCCGTTTCAGCCTGCGAGGAGAATTGTAGGGATGAGTGGTGCTAGATAGGGATTGTGCTACGGGATTAGGGTGATGGGTAAGGTTCTGATAAAATTTGGAGAATTTGTCTATCTTAAAGTTTAATTGTTTTATTTGAAATTTAAATTTGAAATATGTATTGAATAATGGGATAATGTTATCCTATAGCATAAAATAAAATTAACATATTTTTAAATCTCGAATAATGAAGGCAACTATACACACAAATTAATATTCATTTATAATATTTATATTTATTAGCTTATAGCCTTGAACTCTCTCTTTTAATTAGTTTCTTCTAACTTCTTGTCCATGGCTCTTATTTAACATTATAAACATTCGTAATTTATTGTATTTTCTTTATCATTTCATTTGGACGTTTCGGAGATATTTTGTCCCTCACTTTAATACATATATGGCATATATTTCAACTACTAAATGTAAGCACCTGTCAAGAAAAAGATTTTAAAATTTGTCTCTAAAAATATTATTGCTGCTATTTTTTTAGTCTTTTTTTTCTTCCAGAGTAATTACTGTTATTTAAAAAAAATATTTAGTGTATGTACACTAATGTAGAACGAACCATGTTTAAATACTTTGTCATACTCAATTTTCTCAAAAAAAAAAAAAAAAAAATTGAGATTCACACGATTACGTACTGTGGTGTTCACTCAGCCTTGGAATGAATACCTGACGTTAAGGTTAATACAGAAGGTAACAACATAATTTTGACTAGGCTGTCACGCAAATATGCAGGAATGAACACGGAGAACGCATGAAATATATGATTAAAGCTATTATGGGACTGCTTTTGTTTTAATTAGAACAAATAACAGGTTTAAATAAGGACTTCGTTTTAACATCTAAATTTAATCAAGGCTTTTGGATGTTAAAAATCGACTGCCTTGATTCATTACTCTAATTTAGTTTTTAAAAAAATAAAATAAAATAAGGTAGGTAGTGAGGCAATACTCTTCGTTGAAGCAAATTACAACTACAAGTGTCCTCCTTGATTATTACCAAAATAAATTATATACATATATTTTTTAACTAAATTAGAGTAATGAATTAAGCCTATTATTGCCCAAAATCGGTCTTAGTCTTGCACTTTGCAAGAACAGGACCAACACCGCCTATCTGTTGCAAGACCAAGACCAAGATTGGTAAAAAAAATTTATTTTTTGAATAAAAATTGAGGCAAAATAGTTACTAATACATGACAATATTAGTTACTATATGTAAAGAATTGGTGTAACCAATATAGTTTTGCATTTAACTCTTCTAATTTTTCATTCAGACTTGTTTACGTTTCTCATATCTAAAAAAATTATAGTAATATCTCTCTACTAGTAAGGTAATAGGTAATTGCAAGACAGTTACGAGAGTCTTACTCAAGACCAAGACTGAGTTTGCAAGACCAAGACTCGTCTCGGTCTCGCATTTGGGCAACACTAATTAAGCCACTCGATTTTTTACATCCAAAAGCCTTGATTCATTTTTTAAATGTTGAAACTAAGTCCTTCTTAAGTTTTGATATCCATTTTGCATTCATACAGAGAGAAGAAAATTGTTCATTTTACAGTATAATTAAAATTTATTTCATAGTATTTAAAAAAAAAAAAAAAAACCTGTACCATTACAATCCATGAAGGGTCTGGGGTTCAGTACTATTTAGGGAAAGTACTGTTTCTAGGTCAACGGTTGTGCAAGGAGGTGATTTGACCGAGATCCCGCTCAACCGCCAGGTTTTCCCCCTTAATTAATTATTTTAATTAAGGGTACCCACTTTATAGAGGCTGGGTGTGCCCCAGGAGGGACTCTCAACCCAGGATCGCCCCACGGCCAATGAAATAGATAAATAAATTTTCTGCCATGAGCCGAGGTTCAAACCTGGGATCTTTGCTTTGGAAGCTGAGTGCCTAGTATTTAAGGAGTTGAGATATAAGAGAAGGAGTTGATCGGGAGGTGCGGTCAAATAAATACTAAATTATAGAAATAGTATTATTTAATTTTATAGTACTATTTCTATAATTTAGTATTCATTTTACCGCACCCTCCGACCTACTCCTTCTCATATTATATCACGATCAACCATCTCTATATCAAAAATATATATAGTTGAAATAAAATAAAACTTTATAAATAAGTCAGATTATTTTTGTACCACCACTTTTATTTTAAAACTAAAAAATCTTGTTTTTCGCGTTGCAATTGCTATAACCTAACTTCATCGAGGGATAATAATTAAAAATTCAGTCATTTACTTCTAAAAGCTGGTCATTTGCATTATAAAAATTACAGTTTATTCTACATGTTTTAAATATAATTTAAAAAAGAATCTCTCTCTCACTCTTTACTAATACTCTTTTTACACTAATGCCATTAAGACCTTAAAATTAAGTAATAAAGACACTAACGATATTTCTGCCTAATAAGTCATTATTATAGGCGTACCCAATCCGGCTGTTGGTGTTAGGAAGCAGCCAGCATATTCCAGGGGGTGGTATCCTTAATAATCTAAAAATTAAGCAAAAGAGCAGCTAAGGTGATGGTGGTAACAGTTTAGAGGCTAATACCCCGGTAAAGCGATATGGATGGATAAAATTTGAATTTTCATATCGCCAGCTAACGACCGCATTTAACTTTATCGCTAGTCGCTGATTACAGGGGGTTGCTCTGCGCCCCACCCCAAAGCTAAATCTCATCTCCTCCCGGGGTCATTATGTAGTCCATGTAGTCATTTTTCTACTAATAACTAATTGTTAAAGGCAATTTCTTAGATACTGAAGTCAAATTACTATAAAGTGCTATTTATTACTGAATCTACAGTCTTAAAAAAACTATTTCCCATTTCATAGCAACACTGATACATTTTCCTTGATTGCTTTTTATTTGGTATGTGTTTATAATACATAAAAAATATCATGTATATTAGATATCTTTATTTTTTCAATTACACCTATATTATATAAATACATTAATTATATTAATAACTTTATATAACAATATTAAATTAATTATAATTAATACATAATTTTTGAACATATATATAATTGTTGTCAAAAAAATACTACAAGGTTCACTTGTAGATTAACAAGGTTCACAAGTAAAAATACTTGAAAAAACAGAAAAGAATAAAAATAATATGAAAATTATCGTTTCTATACTGGTTTTCTATGGATTTTCCAGATTGTAAATGATACATTTTTTTTTTTCTTCAAACTATTAAAATATACAAATGTTTGTCAGGAAAGTGTAGTATTTTGATCCTGGAATATAGAAACTATATTTATTGATTTTTTTATAATGATGATTTTGTCGAATCTCTGTTGTGTAGTCATTTTGATTTCCACTGGCTAAAAGCCCCAACTCGACCATATTCCCCAGTCGACAATTTCTTCACCATTAATACCTACATCATTAGGAAAAAATTCTTTTTTTCAAGAATATAATAATTATTTCACAATAGATAAAAATACATTTACATACATACTAACTATTTAAAATACATACTGACCCAAAACTCAATTGTTAAAAAAATGATATCATCATTGAAAACCTTACACAAACATAAAATTATAAAATTGCACATCCCGTAATACTCAAAATAATTCTTCTAACTCCATTGTTCATTTTAACATTAACGAAAAAAATACTCTGAAATAATAATAAATAAAACAATTTTTACTTCTATATTGTATTGTATTGACTTATTTAACTTCAATTTCTACAAGCTTGCAAGGTGAAAAAAAAAGGTATTTCACAAAAATGGATAAATGATTTAATTCAATTTGTTTTTCTCTTCTGGTTAGATATATGAATTTGCTATTTCTTGTTGATGTACCGCCCCGTTTCATATATTATATCCATTATTTTATTACGTTTGTCAGTTGTTGGTGTGCCTGCCCTTAACAAAGAAGGTAACATGCCTTGTCATTGTTCTACTCCCTTTCTTACATTCCTTTCCCTTTTACTGTCAATGTTTATATCTTTCTTGTCTTCATACTTTTCAATAACTTCTGAAGTGTAGAAGGAAATATATTTTCCTATAAGAAATATATTTTCCTTTTTTTGCATTATTTCTATTGATCCTTACAGACGTTCCTGTTGCTTTAGACAGCTTTTATTTACCTTCGTTTCTTCTTCTTCTTACATTGGATTCTTTGCATTCTTTTGTTATTATTATTATTATTATTCGCTTATGTATTATTTAATTATTTAAACAGAGATTGTTGGTGAACTATATTGCTATTCCATTTCTTAACATCCTCTAGTGTAGTAGCAGATATTTAAGTAAAACATAATATTATTTTAATATTTGAAAAAAATTAACAAGGATAAAATTAAAATAATTTTTTCTTATTTATTCTTTAAATATTGTAAAACACCTTTTTTGTCATGAAAGTTAATATTATTTAAAAAGTAATTATAAGAGATAGAATAACAATTGTAGTAATAGATCGATTTTTAAGAAAATAAATATAAGACAGAATTAAATAAGATAATTAAATTAATACAAAATAAATGAAAAAATAGTCAATAATAGTGTGTGCTATCATTATTCAATTAAATTAGCTAACAAAAAACACCAAGCATCTCGCATGTAAATTACGAAGGAGGTGCCAACCAAGATTATTTTGGTCCGAGACTACTGAACCGATTTTTTTTCACATTTTGAATCAAAGTTAAAGGTCAGCCGAAGATGATCCTCCTTCCTCGACATTTCTATCCGCCCTATCCTTCCAAGATGGCGGCTGAAAAACCTTTGTTGGTGTAGACTATAGCGCCTAAACGAATGTACCAATTTAAATGAAACTTGGCTAAATTCTTCTCCTCGATGCTATTTAAATGTATCTATATATTTTTAATTGTGAAAATGTGGAACTTTTTTTCCAAGTATCAACTCTGGTTTGAAGTTCAACTTTATTAATAAATTGTTGGTATATTATTTATTTTAAAAACAATACAAATGTCATATATTATAATAATTAGGAATCTGGGCTGTTTGAAAAAACATAAGTAATAATGAAGAGAAGATTGGTTGGAGTTTTCAGTAAAAATAAATAAATTATATTTATTTTTGCCGACGTTTCGGCCCAAAGTTCAGGTCAGCATCAGGGCTGGTCAGACGAAAGATTTCCGTAAGGCCAGCCTTCATCTGAATCTTTCGTCTGACCAGCCCTGATGAAGGCCTGAACTTGGGGCCGAAACGGCGGCAAAAATAAATATAACTTAGTTATTTTTACATTTATTTTTATTTAACACCAATCTTCTCCACAATTTATAACTAATAATGGTACACAAAGCGACTGATTAGTCTATACTTCTAATTAATTTATATGATTTACTTTATGAAAACAAGCAAGGAAAGGAATTTGTATTACATAAGGGAGAAATATGAGAAGGAGAATTGCTTTGAGTAGAAGCAGAGGGAACGATCACTCTGAATTGGGTGCCTTTTCCTCCTACGAGGAATGAATAAATGTCCCCTAATATTATACCAATATAATCTTGGAAATATATAATATTTGACAGTGAAGGAAAGGTTACGTTTGATAAAGACTCCTCGAGACTTTTGAGCGCCTTCTATTCTTGGAAATGTAATAAAGTTGAAAGAGGGAGGCAGTGAACTCCCTAGGCTTTGACCCGTGGCTCGGCATCCCCCAAGCGCTACTCTCATTCCGTCGATAGGTGTCCTTTAATTAATGTCCTTTTCTCTCGTCTGAGGGATCGCCAAAGTTGGCTTTCTCTCTTGCTCCTTGTTGTTTCTTTTTTCCAACAATGGGTCATTGTTTATTTTATATTTTCGTATTCTTTTGTTCAAACTCTCCCGCCTCATTCATGAATATAAATAACCATAATAACGAGAAATTTTTCATGTAAGAAAAAAATAGTTTTCCACGCCCTCCCTTAGTATACCTGGAGAACTCCTTTGATCATAAAATCTATTTTTATTTATTTTCTTAATTCTTTGGTAAAAAATGAATAGGCTTCATTTAAATATAACAAACAAAATAAACATGGTTTCCTGAACAATAAAAATTAATTACAAATAAAAGTTTTGGGCAGAATGAAAGTAAGTTAACGCTTCAAAGCTTGAACGCGTCGGTCAAAGCTTAAAGGTGCCTTCAGACATTTCACAAACTATATATAGTTGAAGAAAATATTGTGATTGGAGTGTTCACTCAAAATAAAAACAAATGAAATATGAAATAAATGAATTGTATTTATTTTTGCGGACGTTTCGGGCCAAAGTTCAGACCTTCAGGCGAAAGATTCCCGCAAGACCTAAACCTAGATAAACCCGAATTAGATCTTTCTTCTAAACAGCCCTGATGAAGGTCTGCACTTTAGGCCGAAACGTGAGCAAAATAAAAAAAAAATATTTGTTTTTACTGATCACCCCTACCAATCTTCTCTTCAATTATTCACTACAGTTAACCATCAAACCACAATTTTATAATAAATACAAACCCCTAAATGGTTGTTTCTCTGTGATTGTGTGTTTTGTTTCTTGTTTTTGATGTTTTCCATCTGCTGTTTGTAACAAAATAAATAAAAATAAAAGAAGTTTGGTTTAGCGTTAATATCGCTGTTAGCGAAGTTATATGGTTGCGTTTTCCATAGTTAGTGAAATGTCTAAACGCACCCTAATGTAGATTTTTCCTTTTCTTGACCAAAATTCATATTTTTAATTATTTTATTGATACAGATTTATTAGTTACCTTTTCAACATTTCACGCTTTCTTTCCTGAGATATAATGCTCTGAATCAATGCTTGAAATGCTATTTTAAATTTCATTTTTAATCAGTTTATATATGACAGGATTATCTCCAATTTTAGTTTGCTTTTTCGGAACCAGAACTTTTTCCTAACAAATTTGATAAGTAAAGCTTTTACTGACCTCTTATTATTAAAAAAAAAATAGTTTTCTATTTTTTTACGCCAAAAATCAATCTAAAAAACTTATATTCGTAACTATTCAAACAAATGACACATTAGATGAATAGGAATTATTTTAAGATAAATTATTACGCTATAAATTACTGTTTGTTTCTCATTTAACGTAACTTTTTAAAGAACTTATTTAGTTTAGTTGTATTTGGGTGCCAAGTACAACTGCATAGGTCAGAAATACAAACTTTTTTTTTTGGGTCCTCCCCTTCCTCGCCTTTAAGGCTATACGGGATTTTTCCCGGCCAGGGAGTGTGGGCGGGGATTTAAAAGAAGTTTCCCCGGCACCGGGATGTGAACTCGGAACTATTTTTCATCCTTCACTCATATGTCAGGTTGCCGGGCAACGGCTGCGCTGTGCACACTCGTTAGCCCATTCGGCCACCCCGCCACACAGAAATACAAACTTAAATAAATAAAAATTAAACTTGTATATTTTACCGAAACTATTAAAATGGTACTTTTTAAATAAGGTCCATGAAAGTTTCACCCCCCTGGTTCTAACCGCATTTTGTTTCAATTATTTATCATCAAATGTAATAGCACTAACATGTGATGGAATGAAAAAGAAAATGGTAAATATCGTAGTAAAGAGTCAGCATACAAATTTTTTAGACTCGTTTTTCTTAAAATGAAGCATAGGCCTAATAAATACCTAGTTGCTTCAAAGTTTGGTTGTTAATGCTATTGGCATCGAATCTTTAAGTTCGCTAGACTTTTAAAATTATGGATTTTTTTTTTCTTTTCACATATCTGTTCTTTGCTCATTACCATTGACATTTAATTTTATGACCCAAGGTTTTTTATTTCATTTTTTTTGTCATTTTGTTTTTAGTTCCAACAAATCCTTTTATAATTGTAATCCATACTGAATCATGGCTCATTCGGTGGGAGGAGGGGTGTAAAAGGCCACACTAGCTTATAAGGCTCTGTAATTCGGCCTTATAAATCAGAGGCGTTTGATCGAGGTTACATGTGGCACGGTGTGTCGTGAGTCCCGGCCATCCACTCCGAAGCGGAGAAGAAGTTATTATAGCTACTGCTGTTGGCTTTAATGGTGAGCGAGTGGCTTGCTTGTTTGTTGGGGTCATGATTTTCTCACTATCGAATTACATAAAAGAACATGATATCGTCTTATCGTAAAAGTTTTCCAAGTGATAACTGGAGTCACCGCTAACAGGTTTTTCTCAGTAGATAGTACCAATATAAATTGTATAATAATAAAAGGCTTAGCGAACTATGAGGTTGCCACAAACCATTGTCTGCAAACTGGCCGTTCAACCCTGTAAGATTTGCCTTCAACGCAATCCTCCCATCTTTGCTTTGGTTTATCTATAGGATGCTTACCAGTCCACAAGCCCGTATAAGGATTTATTCGTTACTAATCCCAATAGTTTTACACTCCCATTTTATTCACCGCAATCCAAATACCTCAATTATTTTTACCTGATATAGTTTACAGAACTCGGTATTGAGTATCCTTCTGTATTATCCGTTTGGCGCGTTCTTAGGTTTAAATATTATATTTAATATTTTTTAAATTTTAATTTTCGTGTTTTAGGACAGAAGGCTCGAGCTAAGCAAGTGTGTCCAGAAGAGGGTTTCATGGCGCAAGTTATGCCACCAAAATTTTTGAGGGGACACATTTTAACTGAGTTTTGAATTTTTGAGGGGCCACTTTTCGACGGAGTTTTGAATTTTTGGAATAGAAGTTTTAAATCAGAGACAATAGGGAAAGATGGAACAGACAAATGTATTTGTAATACGATCTACGAATTTTTAAATTCTGCTTTGCTAACATTGTGTTAGGAAGGAGAGAATAATAAACTATCTTGTTAGAGGTGGAGAGAGATTTATGCACCATTGACCTTGGGAGGAGGCACTAACGGATCAAGAATTTAATTTTGGGGGGGCTTCAGCCCGAATGTTTTTTTTTTTTTTAGGTATATATTACGATAATTACTTCGGAAGAAAGAAAGAAACTAAGTACCTATATGAAATGATGTTTAAGTGATTATATTTTATGTTTATATTTTACTATTTTGGAATAGGGCTTCAGCCCTGATTGATTATTCATTGAATTTGTAATTTTATATTTTCTCTTCCTTGTTTACTTTCTTTTTTTTTAGAACTGTTAATGTGAGATCTCTATCTTGATATAAATTTACATAAGCTGTATATTTTACATAAGTGTCGCAAAATGGTCTGTGTGTGTATGTGTCTGTGTGTGTGTGTGTTAACAGTCTAGCTCATAAACGAAAAGTAGTACGAATCTGATATTAAGTATTTAAGGTTTTTATATGGGCCGGATGTGACAGAAACTGTTTCGTTAAAATCGGCTAACCGAAAGTGCCACTTTAAATGAACGCTGAAACACATTTTTACAATTTTCTCAAAAACCACTCTAACGATTTTGATCAAACTCGGTGTATCATTGTATAATTAAGTGGTCTTTAATATAATTTAGGTCTTATCCCTGTTGATGTCACTTTACTGGGCTTAAATGCCCAATGTTCATATATGTCTTCCTCTAAAGTACCTTTAATATGGTTTATTTTAAAAAGTTAACCATTTCGGATTATTCAGAGTTACGAAAAAAATGCTACATATAACTTTTGAAAGAATTCGATAAATTAATAAAGGAGAAAAAAATGGAGAAAAACCTGCGTTGCTGTAGCGCCTAAACGAATGTACCGATTTCAATGAAACTTCACTAAAGTCATTTTCTCGACACCCTTTGAATTTATCTATATAACATACTTCAACGAAAAATAGCTGGAAAAAAAGTTACGAGCGATGGTAAAATTAAATTCCGAATAGCTAAAAAAGTATACACTTTTTTGTTGATAGTTTTTTAAAGGCTATGGAATTTCCTAACAAAACAAAAAAAATATCGTTAAAATCGGACAATTAGGAGGAAAGATATGGTCTCTAGTTATTTTCCCTAAAGAGGTGAAAATTTGGATAAATTTAAAATATATTTTTTTAATTGTTGAGACTAAAAAAACCTTTTTTCTACAGATATTTAATAACGTGTCTTTCCTAAGAACATCTTTCATAAGAAAGTAGTACCTAAATTTATACTTTTATTCTGAGTTCTATATTACAACACTACAATCACCACTTCTGGAATCAACTTATTCATTTTCTGCATAGATAACTTTTTCAACTAAAAATATCACTAAAATGACATCACTCAAAAATGTTGAAATTGGAGTTAGTCATTCTGTGGTTTATAAAATCAGATATAGTGAATTGATTTTTATTGCCTGTCTTCCATATATTAAATAGACATTTTGTAATTATAATGGTCTTAATGAATTGTTATCTGTAAGCTTTAAGCTTTAGCTCCGTTTAAAATGCACTTCAAAAAATTTTATAGTAGCCCGGGATTGCCAGAAAATAATTTCTATTCAAAGTAGATCGGTAAGTGAAAGTAGTGTGTTGCGCGCGTGGTTAAAGGAATAAAATTACATAAAGAAGAACATATTACATAGAATCGTTTCTATAGTGAAGATATTTTCAGTTAGTTGTGGATGGTGTCGGAAGGAGGAATCTGTTTCTTGAATTGTTTTTTATGTTGTGCTTTTTTGATATATCGATTTATACATATAATAAATAAATAATAAATAATAATATAAATACAATAAATAATAAATTATTGTGTAATTGTTATCACCCCTACTGTTAGTTAATGGCAAATCTCCTGGCACGCTGACCACATA